TGTGTGTGTGTATGGTGTGTGTGTGTGTGTGTGTGTGTGTGTGTGTGTGTGTGTGTGGTGCTGTGTGTGTGTGTGTGTGTGTGTGTGTGTGTTGTGTGTGTGTGTGTGTGTGTGTGTGTGTGATGTGTGTATTTGTCATAATAACATATATATCTTCCTCTCTTCTTCGTCTTCTCTCTCTCTGCTCTCTCTTCTCTCTCTCTCTCTCTCTCTCTCCTCTCTCTTCTCTTCTCTCTGCTCTCTCTCTCTCTCTTACGACCCATTTTATTCCACTTTATTTTCCTCATTCCACGCCCTCTGCCGATGACGTCACTCATGGCATGACCAGATGACGTCAGATGACAGATGACGTCACTCATGGCATGACCAGCTGACGTCACTCATGGCATGACAAATGACCAGGCATGACCGTCAGCCATTGAAGATGGCACCCAGATGACGTAGGCATGACCTTCACGCATGCCCCAGATCCTTAACAAAATCCTCCCGTCCTTGTGTTCGCCTTTCTTACCTTCGCCATTCTCACCTGTTACCTTAATTGTGGGAATAAACTCTTTCAGAATTATTACTATTATTATACTCAATGGGTGTGCGCTGAAAAGGGATGAGAAAAAAGGTATTGGATGTTTTTGAGCGCTTTTTGTATAATTTTATTAAGATTTGTTGTTGTTTTATGGCGCAAGATGGCGGTGTGGAAAATGGGCGGGGCTTTGGTGACGTCCATGAGCTGAGAGAGAGAGGGAGAAAAAGAGAGAGAGGAGAGGGGGGGAAGAGAGAGAGAGAGAGAGAGAGAGAGAGAGAGAGAGAGAGAGAGAGAGAAGAGAGAGAGAGAGAGAGAGAGAGAGAGAGAGAGAGAGAGAGAGAGAGAGAGGAGAGAGAGAGAGAGGAGAGAGAGAGAGAGAGAGAGAGAGAGAGAGAGAAGAGAGAGAGAGAGAGAGAGAGAGAGGACAAGAGAGAGAGAGAAGAGACAGAGAGAGAGAGAGAGAGAGAGAGAGAAGAGAGAGAGAGAGAAGAGAGAGAGAGAGAGAGAGAGAGAGAGAGAGAGAGAGAGAGAGAGGAGAGAGAGAGAGAGAGAGAGAGAGAGAGAGAGAGAGAGAGAGAGAGAAGGGAAGAGAAGAGGAGAGAGAGAGAGAGAGAGAGAGAGGAGAGAGAAGAGAGAGAGAGAGAGAAAGGAGAGAGCGAGGAGAAGGGGGAAACACAAGAGAGAGAGAATAATAATTATAATAATAAGAAGAAAAAGAACAAAAATGGAGAACGAGAAAATGGTAAGAATCAGCAAGAAACCCAACAAGAAGAAGAAGCAAAGAAAAAAAGAGAGAGAGAAAAACAAAAAAAAAAAAAAAAAATTGCACATGATGAAATACAAAAATATTCCTTCCTTGTCTCTCTTCGTCTCTCTCTTTGTCTCTCATTTCTTCTCGTGTTTGAAAATTACTTTCTGAAAGATAATTAACTCGCGTTCTCTCCTTCTCTGTCGCTGTTCCTCTTTCATTTGCATATGAAATAAGGTGAGAACGAGAGAGCGAAGGAGGAGGAGAAGCGAGGGAAAATGAGAGTAAAATGACAGTTAATGATTATAATAAGAAATGAGGAGGGAAGTTTGTGTGTGCTTGTCTGTCTGTCTGTCTGTGAAAGCGTGCATGTGTGTGTGTGATCGTCTGTGTGTGTATGTGATCGTGTGTGTGTGTGTGTGTGTGTGTGTGTGTGTGTGTGTGTGTGTGTGTGTGTGTGTGTGTGTGTGGTGCGTGCGTGTATGTGTGTGTGTGCGTGTGTGTTGCGTGTGTGTGTTGTGTGTGTGTGTGTGTATGTGTGTGGTTTGTGTGGGTGTGCTTGTCTGTCCATGTGTGTGTATGTGATCGTATGTGTGTGTGTGTGTGCTTGTGTCTAGGTCTGTGTGGTAAACGTGTGTGAGTGTGGTATATGTGTATGTGTGTGTGTGTGTGATCGTAGGTTTGTGTGCGTATGTGTATGCGGTCATATGTGTTTATGTCCGTCTACGCATGCGTGTATATGTAAAAAATATTTCTAAGATCTCGAAATCACGCCTTTACCTCCTCCTCGACGCTCCCCCTCCAAGAAGTCACCCTCAAGGACGACTCAAGAAGGGACGACCTCCAAGAAGTCACCCTCAAGGACGACCTCCAAGAAGTCACCCTCAAGGACGACCTCCAAGAAGCCACCCTCAAGGACGAGACCCCAAGAGCCACCCTCAAGGACGACCTCCAAGAACCACCCTCAAGGACGACCACCAAGAAGTCACCTCAAGGACGACCTCCAAGAAGCCACCCTTAAGGACGACCTCCAAGAAAGCCACCGGACGACCTTCCAGACACGACTCGGAGGACCTCCTCCCCCCCGGGGCGTTCCATGTAGCTGGCGAGGATCCAAGCGCTTCCTGGAGGAGGAGGAGGGGAGGTGGAGGAGGGGGTGGAAGAGGAGGAAGAGGTGGTGGAGAACAAGAAAAAGAAGTGAAAGGAAAGGAAGAGAAGAGGAAGAGGTGGAGGAGGAGGAGGGGGGAAGAGGAGGAGTAGTAGTAGGAGGAGAAGGAGGAAGTGGTGGAGAAGAAAAAAAAAGTAAAAGGAGGAGGAGGAGGAGGGGTGAAGAGGTGGAGTAAAATGAGTAAGAGCAGTAGTAGGAGGAGGAAGAGGAGCAGGAGGAAGGGGTAGAGGAGGAGAAACAGAAGGAGGTGGTGGAGAAGAAGAGAAGTAGAAGGATAAGAAAAAAAGAAAAGAAGGAGAGGGGAAGAGGAGGAGTAAGATGAGTAAGAGCAGTAGTAGTAGTAGGAGGAGGAGGAGGAGGAGGACTCTCACCTACCCGAGGGCGCTCACGACGTCTGCTTGGTGACCTTGGAGGGCGTCTTCCCAATTACTTGAAGGAAGGCGAAGAATGCGAGGGAAAGACAGGGAATTGGCCCGGGGGAGACTCCTGCAGGAAGCGCTCCTGTTTGTGTGCGTGTTTGGGTGTGGGGGGGGGGTCGTGTGTGTGTGTGCGTGTGTGGGGGGTGTGGGGGGGGGGGGGGAATGTGTGTGTGTGTGTTTGTGTGCGTGTGTGTGGGGGGGGCGTGTGTGTGTGTGGGGGGGGGGGGGCGTGTGTGTGTGTGTGTGTGCGGTGTGTGTGTGTGTGTGCGTGTATGCGTGTTGTGTGTGCGTGTGGTAGTAAAGTGTATTTGGTATTATTTCCCATCTAAGTGATTCTAGTTTCCCAAGCTAATAATTCTTCTCATCTCACGAGCCATTTTTAACGTACATACAGAGAGATATAGTTAAAGACATACCAATCATATCTATATATCTCCATATATTCCCTAAAGACTCCTCTCCTCCTCTCTAAATGAGTTGTCTTAACGGTTCAGACGCAAATGCAGAGAAACACGCCCCTCGTGTGTATGTTCTAGGCGTGGGCGGCGATGGGGAAGCACGTGGGGCTGTCAGGTTAGCTCAGTGCACACGCAAGGTTCACGTATTTCCACAAACTACTCCTGCACACGCACGTAATTCATTGCTAACTTTTTTTTTCTTTTCTTCTTTCTTCTTTTTCTTCTTTTTTCTTCTTCTTCTTTGTGCAATGGAGTTCAGCGTGTATACATAAGGACCCTGGAAAGATCGAGGACGTGGATCGTCGAGTTATGAAGGTTTCTCTCTCTGTCTGTCTGTCTCTTTCTCTTTCTCTCTTTCTCTCTCTCTCTCTCTCTCTCTCTCTCTCTCTCTCTCTCTCTCTCCTCTCTCTCTCTCTCTCTCTCTCTCTTCTCCTCTCTCTCTCTCTCTCTAGTATTATTATTTCGATAAATCTTCACTACTAGCCACTTTGATTATTTATTTTTGTAAACTACCTACTTCAAAAAATCGAACTGCGTCTTTCCTCGACTTAACAATCGTCAAAGTCGTTATCCGCTTTTTTTTTTTTTTTTTTGTTATCGTAGATTTTTTACTAATCGTCAGCTTCGAGGAGCATTTCCCGCGAGTCAACCGCCTCAGGGAAACCGTTGAATCCGTTGGTGACGTCACGCGATTTCAAATTTGAATCGTCGTCTTTCTCTCTCTCTTTCTCTGTCCCTCTCGGTCGCTGTCTCTTTTCTTCTCTGTCTATCTCTATCTCTATCCTCTATCTCTATCTCTCTATCTCTCTCTCTCTCTCTCTCTCTCTCTCTCTCTCCTCTCTCCTCTCTTCCTTTCTCCTCTCTCTCCTTCTCGTCTCTCTTCTCTCTCTCTCTCTCTCTCTCTCTCCGCTCTCCCTCTCTCTCCCTGCTCCTCTCCCTCTCCCTCTCCTCCCTCTCCTCTTCCCTCTCTCTATATATATATTATTTCGATAAATCTTCAACTACTAGCCACTTGATTATTTATTTTTGTAAACCACCTACTTCAAAATAATCGAACTGCGTCTTCCTCGACTTAA